GGTTTGCATTTAAACAAGTATACCAAAAGCACGCGCACACACGCACGCAAGCCGGCACACACACACACACGCACACACACACAAACACATCCAAACGCACAATAACTTTACAAATGAACAAAAATGCATTTTGCCAAAAAAAAACTTTTTTTTAGATTTGCTTTGTTTGCGCCTCTTTCCTCACTGCCAAAAAGAGTTCGCCCAGTTTGTTCTAACAGGGAAGCATTAGTAACAAAAGTCAACATATTCTGGCAGCTGCTTCAAAGAACTAAACTCAGCTGCGATTTTTTGCTGACAAGAAAATCCACTAAAATATTTATTAGTTAGAATTTAAAAATTTCTGTAAAAGCCGAATCAGAGCAAAAACGTTAAATAAAAAATACCGCGGAAAAGAGCGAGTAATTTAATTTTGATTTATTTCCTGCGTGCTTTCAGTAGTTTTTTATCAAATAAATGATGGAGTCGGTGGAAGAAAATTTACGAGGAAAGTGGGTTGGCGAAGATAAGTTGGTTTTTACGAAAAGGGGAGAGGGGAGACCGAAATGGGGCGGGGTTCAGGGTGGAAGGAGTATTAAAAAAATGCAGGAGCTGCAAGAAAATTTTGCAAAAGCGTTTTATCAGTGCATTCGCGGAGGTCATTTGTTTGTAATTGCAGAACAAAAATGATTAGTTAACTGGTTATTTAAAATGACCCAGTGTTCTTGTTGCCAATTTTCGGTTGCAGAAATGTAACTGAGCATCGTGTTTTTTGATCCGCGTTCCATTTTGTACAGCACCATTATCATCATATCAGTTCATAGGTTGAAGATCGCCTCTTTATGAGCGTCATCATGCGCTTATCTCTCTGTGTACCCTTATTGAGCACTTAAACCCCCCACTGAATGAAGTTAGAATCCGAGTGGCTCCATAGTTTATTTATGAGCTTTTTTCTCATGCATTTTCAAATTTCTTAGCGGAAATTTACACTCTCTCTGTTGCTTCACGGTGTCGCAAAACTGGTAACATATTTCCAATTCATTGGATATTCAGGCCATAATGCACATTGCACTGCATTTCAAAACTAATATTGCTGGAAACACAAAAATATTCAAGCTAAAGATTGGCTTAGCCGAATAAAAAAGACAGAGCACTGTGGAATTACTCTCAGTCAGATGTCGTTTTCAGACACATACTGTGATTAACACGATCTCCTAGATGATCAGTGTAAGAACTCAATGTTACTAGAATGCATCCACACGCAAATCTTTCCTCTTACGAGCAGTTTGCTTCTCGCAGACGATTATAATTCGCAGAATTTTTTTTTTT